CTTCCGATTCATTTTTCTCCATTTGTGCTGTCTGTCTCTGTGATGTGAATCCATCCCTATCCATTCTGTCATGCCTCCATTTTTTGCTGCTTCTTCAGATTGCACTGAGCCGTAAGAGGTAAGCTCCATCAGAGGAGGAAAAATGTGACTTCCCTTTATGTCCAGGAAGCATCCTTTGTCCGTGGTATTCCATAACCCTGCTTCTAAAATTCATTCTTTCTGAACTACACTTTGAAAGATGCAAGAAAAATAATTCCCCACAGCCACACCCACACTAGAATGCCTTGAATATTTTCTACACATTCTGTGACGTCCGTGCTTGTTTCTAAGCATCTTCTGCAAGGATGCGCATTAAAGTCCTTAGCTTTGTACCTCAACATCTCCCTCAGTTGTCTGTATAGTAATATGCACACCACAGTGCCTGAGAAATTGATATTTCTTACTGCCATCTTGACAGTAGGATTCCCAAGCCTGTTTGCATCCACCAGGCTCGTGAGGATTATAATAATAGGCAATATCTGAATTACTCTGTGTCATCATCCCCTAAAGCAGACAGGGATATTTCCAAATGTTTTACTGGGTTTGGTAATTTACATGGATCAAATTCATCAGATAAGAACCAACCCTCCCCTTAATGTTGAGCTGTAGAGTTAATGGGAATTGTTTTCATATTGTTCTCAATTCCTTTCACAAACATAGATTAGGATTTCCTAGGGCTGATAACCAATAATATCTACATTTTATCATAAGTTTTTGAGAGCAGAGATTGAAAGTGCTTTTCATTCAAAACACCTTGACTTTCCTAAGCAAATAAAACCAATTTTTTTCTAAACAAGGCAAGCCAAGGTATATAGGAAGCCTCATGCAGCACGATTCGGGTTGTTTATTGATTTATTGTTAACCTCTCAGGCCATCTAACAGTTAAGGCAATTAAAGGATCCTCTGCCCAATACATTTGAGTTAGGCTAAATTTCTCCCTCGCTGATCCTGAAGAGCCAGGGTTCATAGCATAATGCTCTTTCTAGTAGTGTTGTTTCTATCTTCCTGTCACTAAACAATGAATCCCATTGCTTCTTATTGGGAACATGTCAAAATGGGTCAGGCTAAGAAGAAATTGCACCACTCGCCTTGCCCTACAGACTGGCACTCATATTTAGAGACAGATGTTCCAGCCTTTTCCAGAGACAGAGGACCATATCTGAGATCTTTAATAGAAGACATATTTAATACAAGAAAAGAGTGTAGATGTTCAGTCTGTATATTATGGCAGCACAATGTTTATAAGGTTTGATGCAGAAAGTCATTTGACCCTTGGCAATCTCAGGTCTGTGATCTGCTACCAAGTCTTGGCAACAACACAGTTGACGATGGATTCTCACCATTAGTGCTCATCTTGTATTCTGCCTTTTCACCTGAGTTTACTTTGTGTGTCCTGATAATTTATCCTATGCTTGGTAAAATTAAGTTTGTTTAGAAATATATTTCTTATTGGAATTCTTCTTGATGGCTTCACTGAAGTTGTAGACAATGAGAAAATACGGGCTAACTTTACTTGAATCATCCAGTGTGTTTGGATACTATCGTACTCAAAAGTATGAAGTAACCAGCCAAGGTATGAAGTAGCCTAATGGGGGATGGGATTAAGGAAGACTTCTTAAAGGAGGTAACTAAACTGAATCTTAAAAGTGGAAATTTGCCAGATGGAAAAGGGGTTTAAAGGCTCTGTGAGCCATGGGAACAACAAATGGAAAGGTATGAGATGTCATATTTGGGAGACTTACCAGTCTGATATAATTGGACGACAGAGTACTTGAGATAGGGATAGAAGGAGAGAGAAACCAAATGTCAAAGATTGGGTATCATTTTTATTTTATGATTGAGATAGGGGGAGTTGGTAATAGATTTTAAATGGGAAATGATGTGATCATGTATTTGTGTTTTAGACAATAACATTACTTGCCATTAATGTCCCACTTTTAAGCAATGACTTTCTACATTCTAGAAACCATCTTTTACCAAGATTCATATGAGTTTAAATTAAGACAATGTAGATACCAAAGAGGAACTAGCATAGACCTGGGCACCAGAGAGACCTGGGGTTGAATCTTCTGTTCATCCTTTCTCAGCTATATGATAATGGAAAAATCATACCATATTTTGAAAAATGAGAATATTATTTCTAGATCATAAAGAGTTATGATAATTAAGAATTACAATACACAAAAATTAATTAGCACGTAACTGATACTCTCAATAATATTAGCCCTTTTTTTGACATTATGGATCAATGCATAATAACACTATTGCTTGAAATGAAGAAAAAAGTTTCCATTTTAAAACCTGTGGTTACTAAGCAACCTATGGTTATTAGGTAATTCTGAGGTGATGGCTAATACTGTGATTTTTTTTTTAACTGGCCCAAGTTGCTTGAAGTGAAGAAAAAAGTTTCCATTTTAAAACCTGTGGTTACTAAGCAACCTATGGTTATTAGGTAATTCTGAGGTGATGGCTAATACTGTGATTTTTTTTTTTAACTGGCCCAAGTCAAAGTATGCATTCATTGTTGAAGTGTATATTTTTGCAACCTGTTGACCTTCTATGACAAAGTTAACACTCCTTCCTTTATTAAACTTTTTTTAGCTTGTTAAGAGGTCAGTAGATATCCAATCCTTACCAGTTTCTGGGTAGCAACTGAAAGTTGTTCTTTTATCTTTCTAGTAGTGTTGTTTCTATCTTCCTGTCACTAAACAATGAATCCCATTGCTTCTTATTGGGAACATGTCAAAATGGGTCAGGCTAAGAAGAAATTGCACCACTCGCCTTGCCCTACAGACTGGCACTCATATTTAGAGACAGATGTTCCAGCCTTTTCCAGAGACAGAGGACCATATCTGAGATCTTTAATAGAAGACATATTTAATACAAGAAAAGAGTGTAGATGTTCAGTCTGTATATTATGGCAGCACAATGTTTATAAGGTTTGATGCAGAAAGTCATTTGACCCTTGGCAATCTCAGGTCTGTGATCTGCTACCAAGTCTTGGCAACAACACAGTTGACGATGGATTCTCACCATTAGTGCTCATCTTGTATTCTGCCTTTTCACCTGAGTTTACTTTGTGTGTCCTGATAATTTATCCTATGCTTGGTAAAATTAAGTTTGTTTAGAAATATATTTCTTATTGGAATTCTTCTTGATGGCTTCATTGAAGTTGTAGACAATGAGAAAATACTTACTGGGCTAACTTACTTGAATCATCCAGTGTGTTTGGATACTATCGTACTCAAAAGTATGAAGTAACCAGCCAAGGTATGAAGTAGCCTAATGGGGGATGGGATTAAGGAAGACTTCTTAAAGGAGGTAACTAAATTGAATCTTAAAAGTGGAAATTTGCCAGATGGAAAAAGGGGTTTAAAGGCTCTGTGAGCCATGGGAACAACAAATGGAAAGGTATGAGATGTCATATTTGGGAGACTCAAAAGTCTGACATAATTGGGTGACAGAGTACTTGAGATAGGGATAGAAGGAGAGAGGAACCAAATATCAAAGATTGGGTATCGTTTTTATTTTATGATTGAGGTAGGGGGAGTTGGTAATAGATTTTAAATGGGAAATGATGTGATCATGTATTTGTGTTTTAGACAATAACATTACTTGCCATTAATGTCCCACTTTTAAGCAATGACTTTCTACATTCTAGAAACCATCTTTTACCAAGATTCATATGAGTTTAAATTAAGACAATGTAGATACCAAAGAGGAACTAGCATAGACCTGGGCACCAGAGAGACCTGGGGTTGAATCTTCTGTTCATCCTTTCTCAGCTATATGATAATGGAAAAATCATACCATATTTTGAAAAATGAGAATATTATTTCTAGATCATAAAGAGTTATGATAATTAAGAATTACAATACACAAAAATTAATTAGCACGTAACTGATACTCTCAATAATATTAGCCCTTTTTTTGACATTATGGATCAATGCATAATAACACTATTGCTTGAAATGAAGAAAAAAGTTTCCATTTTAAAACCTGTGGTTACTAAGCAACCTATGGTTATTAGGTAATTCTGAGGTGATGGCTAATACTGTGATTTTTTTTTTAACTGGCCCAAGTCAAAGCATGCATTCATTGTTGATGTGTATATTTTTGTAACCTGTTGACCTTCTATGACAAACTTAACACTCCTTCCTTTATTAAATTTTTTTTAGCTTGTTAAGAGGTCAGTAGATATCCAATCCTTACCAGTTTCTGGGTAGCAACTGAAAGTTGTTCTTTTATTTTTTCAGACACATCTTGACATGACAAGATGGAGCCACATGTTTAATTTTCTGAAATGCTCAGTTTTTTATTTATCAATGAAATAATTCCTCTTTATCAGACATTTTCAATTAAAGCTATGCCAGTTTAAATGGACTTTGGTCTGTTATTCATGACAAAGTGGGGGGAAAAAGACTAACTCAACAAAATCTAGTAAGCACTTCCTTTTCTTACTAGCCAACATGCTCAGAGCAGTTGTATTTTCCTGGAGTGTGTGGATGGTCATAGACAATAGATGATTGCTGGAACAAAATCACTACTGGCACCCTTGATTAGATAAGACTAGTTCTAGAAATTGAATATTTGTTTGCTTCATGTCAAAATGTTAGGTTTAAAAAAGCTGCATATTTAAAACCTTATTAAAATGTATTTCACTTTCATATTCAAATCCCAGCCACCTCCTAAATATGCAAAGAGAATCATGAAATTACTTGAGATTCTGCAAAAGGGGAAAAATAAACACAGAAACCTACTTTAAATGTCTAATTCTTCAATATCCAAATGTGCCTTCAGGGATTCATTTTCCAGATTTCCCACTAATGTGTTAGCCACACTAATGCTACCCTGGGAAATACAGCTCAACCAAATAAAAAACTCAAATAAACTAAGAGTACATAGTAATTCCCTTAAGGTCAACTTATCATTCATTAATCCCACATTGGTCATTCACTCAGGAAGCCCCTGTGGTAGCCAGAGCAGCACTGTTCCTGGAATGCGCCCGATTCGTTCACCGCTGCAACCGTGGCAACTGGCCCGAGTGGATGAAAGGCCACCACGTGAATATCACCAAGAAAGGCCTGTCCAGGGGCCGGTCTCCCATCGTGGGCAACAAGCGGAACCAGAAGCTGCAGTGGAACGCTGCCAAGCTCTTCTACCAATGGGGAGACGTGAGCTTTTCATTTTCTTCCATAAAAATCAGGGTGCTTGAGTGAAGTGAAGACGTTTTGTGTGTTTGTTTGTCTGGGAGACAATGCATTGAGTATCTGTTCTATGCCAGGCACTGAACTAAACAGTTTAGGGGAAAATAATCTTAATTCATTGAATGCTCCCAATACGTCTATGAAGTTAGACATTATTATTCCTCTGTCTCCTTCCCTGGTCCTCTGCTTCCTTCCTGCCTATAGACGTGTTTTCCCAGGATAGCTTGTAATTTCTTTCTGTGTAATTTCCCCCAGGGTTACATGTATTCCTGTGTTTTTAACTATTAACTCGGTGGCAGCAGCACACACTTCTCTATCCATAACACTTCAGATCCCAGGCCAGTATTGTCAACTGCACGCTGGGCTTCCTCTCAATACTCATCTGACCAAAATAAAACTGTTCTTCCCATATAAGAACACCCCCGTCGGCAACCCCTCCTAAAATTTCTATTTTTATTAACGATTGCACCATCATCTAAAATGGCAGCCTGTGAACATATTCCAAACCTCCTTCCCTTATTGATTCCACCCCCTTCACATCACTGATGCCCCTTGAGGCTGGATGACTAAAGCATTTTCCCATTTGGTCTCCTCCCCAAGTCCTACACACTGCTAGTAAAATGATCTCCCTAAGGCTTAGCCCATCTAAAAGCAGAACATTCATACTTATCTGCCAGCCTCCAGACTTGCCCCCTCCAATTCATTCTCCAAACTGCTGTCAGAGGGATTAGATGAAAATGCAAATCAGATGGTGCTTCCTACCCACTTGTAATGCTTCAATGGCCCTTCTTTTCTCTGGGGATGAAGCCCAAATTGCTTAGCCCGGCATCACTGTTCTCTCCACAACCTTTGTTCAAATCATATCAAGATTATGGATGAGGAAGGCAAATGAACTACTCTAAAGAATATTTATCTTAATCCTTTGCATCTAAGAGGTGTGTGATAATAATAAGTTGTTACATTAATTTTTTTATTTCTATTGAATTCAGAGAAGAAGGGGAGGGAGGGAGGGAGAGAGAGAGAAACATCAATGATGATAGAGAATCAACGATTGGCTGCCTTCTGTACACCCCACACTGGGGATCGAGCCCATAACTCAGGCGTGTGCCCTGACTGGGAATCGAACCATGACCTCCTGGTCCATAGGTCAACACTCAACCACTGAGCCATGCCAGCTGGGCTGTTACATTAATTTTTGAAAGCAGGCTACATGGTTTGTCTTTGAATTTCTAGGCAAGTGGGGCAGTATCCCTCGAATGACTGATAAGGTTTCTCCCCCACTCAGAAACTACCTTTCATCATCCTTCAGAATGTAAAATGAAGTTAAGCTTCAAGAACTGCTTACCTTTCCAGCCTTCCTGCACATTAATTCCTCTTACAAAACTGTGCTTCAACCAGGTGGCTTATTTGTCAGTCTCTGAACACATCAGTTTAGTTCCCTGAATATGGATCTTTTGGAACTCTCTATTTGGACTATCCACTCGTTCCCTTCCCCATCCCCCAAAACACCAATTCTTCACAAATCTATTGCAATGAGACTTTCCATGATTCTCTGAACTGAATCCAAGCTCTCCATCTTCTGAACTAATGAAGTCTTTTCACTACTTAATCTGTTATTTCGGTATATTATTACCTCCCCAATAGACCAAGCATGTCAAACTCAAAGGCTAACACAGGCCAAATAAACAAAGTTTAAGTTTATGTGGGCTGCAAAAAAACAAAAGCTTCAATTTTCATAGCAACATAGGTTTATTTAGAAAAGTATAGCATAAGAAAAAAGAACAAGAGCAATGATAAAATTAATGTTTTCTTCTTGACACATAGCATCCCTTCTCTGCTACTATCTTTCCTACTTCTGGGGAAAGCTTGTTTGCAGTGATTCCTTTCAAAACTGACCCAAGGTGAATGTCAGTAATTCTGGATCTGACAGGAGACTTAATTTCCCTTCATAATTATAAATAACTGCTCACACTGTTATATTGAGTGGGCCGCGAGTTTGACATGCTTGCCAATAGACTATAAGCTCGGTGAGGGAAAGAGCAAAAGACATTGAATCAAACACCCTGTCTTGTGTTTGAATCGCAGTTCACAGCTTGCTAAGTAACCCTGAGCAAATCTTTCAATCTGTCTAACCTTCCAATTCCCAAACATTGATCCTTCTGTATGAAGGCATTTAGTATTACCCCAGAGAAGTTCATTTTTTAGCAACCCTTTAACTTTTGGGAGCTGTGGGTTTAACTTACACCATTTATTTTCACATCCTGGGAGGATTGATATGGAATCTTTCCCCTTTGGACCTCACTATTCAGCTTGTGGGCTCCATTCTAGACTCACGTTGCATGCACCCACCTTTGGAGGGATCTCCAAAGTAGTAACATCAGGACAAAGATTTTTGTTGAGGTGGGGTTTTTTGTTTTTATTGTTTTCTTTGCTTAAAACATCCCAGGCTAGTGGCTAAAATTTTAGGATCCTGTGATATCTGTTTACATGGCTTGCTTTCTTTTCATGTGGTTTTTCTTATTCCTCTCTTAATTACAGAGTTTGAGGAGACCTTTTTGTTTCCAAAGAGTCAAGATACTCAAGCAGCTTGCATTTTTATTTAAAGAATTCCGGACATACCTTTGTATGCCAGTTTCCACTAGTGGGTGTAATTTCTTGTATGTCCAGAATTTAGTAACTTTTCTAATTATTTGAAAAGAATGTTACAAGAAGAAAGGAAAGATTTAGCTGGAATTTTAGTCTTACTAGTACACAGAGTAATCCACCTGTCAAACTCCAAGCTCATTTTAGCTATTTCCCTAACTTTTCTTCCTGGGCTTGTGTTCCTTCCACTGTTGCATACGGTATATAATTGGAATATAAAATAAATTAGATAAAGGTAGTTTATTTTTTCTCTTCTTAGGGAAAATTCCTTAATTATTAGTTCCATTAATACCTTATTTAAAAAAAACACAATATTGCCCATGTGCTGAGTTATTAAAAGTTATATTTCCAATAGTGATGTTGGGTATTAATTCAGAGTATCATGGAGGAGGGAACAAATTCTATAAAAAAGACAATCAGTGCATACATAATGGCAGATAAAAATAAAATTGCAGTACCAGAATTCTTGCCAACCTCCAAACTCATTAGCATGACAATGACATTCTCATAAAATAGCATGATCAGGAGTACTCTGAGGAAGGGTGACTTCTTATTTTTACTGCAACAAAATCTTCCATGAAAGACTGCAATACACCCGTATATGAGACCTATAAAATAAATGACCCTTAGGTAAATGAAAATATTTTCACTGAGTAAATGGGAAAAAAAATTCTATGAGTATACCAAAGTATCATCCTAGTTCCTGCAAGTATTTAGTCTGAATGACCGTGGAGATAGCATCAGCGCCTTCCATCTCTGGGTTTCCACATTAGAAAACCTGGTGGTAGCAACACTATGGCAAACAGGGGAGGCTTATGCTGGAGGAACTTCCCACTCCTTTGTTGTTTATGTCCTCTGTATGTGACAGCCTACTTTACAGTCTAATCTACTTCGTGCTGTTTCTTTTTCCCCCTCCATGGTAGGCAATTGGCATCCGATTGAATGAGCTGTGCCACGGGGAAAGTGAGAGCCCAGCCAACCTGCTGGGTCTTATTTATGATGAGGAGACCAAGAGGAGACTGAGAAAGGAGGATGAGGAGGAAGACTTTTTAGATGACAGTAAGGAGACTCCCTTTACTACAAGAGCCCCTGCTTGTAAGAACCTCTGCTTTAGGAGCACTTAATATTTCTCTTTCCTCTTCCATATTCTTACCACCTTCCCATGTCTCCCCACTGCGCCTTTCCCCCTATTCCCTGTGTATGGATGTAAAGCATGTGCATAAAGCCACACAGAGGAGAGGGCAAGAACCGGAAAGAAGAGACTAGAAGAGACTATAGACAGGGGCAAAGAGTTGCAGGCCATCTGGAACTTCCATCGCTTTGTAGTCTCTGACTCATATTATTACACAAAGATTCGTATTAGGCTTCTCTGAGAAAATTAAGCTGTGGAATATTACTGTCTCAAGGGGAGTTTGGTCAGATTTTGTATTTTATTATTGCTTTTGGAGATTAAAAAATAAAATAAAAGTTATACCAAACAAAATTGAACATGACATACTTTCCAGATCACTAACATATTGTAATTTTTAATCAGAGTATAATGCAGCATTTGACATTAAATTGAATTATTAAAAGATTCACATTGTTAGAACTATGAATATCTTCTACACTGTAGTGATGTATTAAAATTATAATTGAGTTCTATCATAGAAAAATAGAGGCAAAGATTGCTGTACATCTCTCTCCAGAACCATTTTGTGCACATATGTGTTCTATGCCATATGAGCTTGTATGTATGTGCACCACTGCCTTTTATCGATCATAAAATTCCAATGTGATCATGGAATCAGTATCATTATTTGAAGACAATGAGGCCTCTTCCTCTTGACCCTCCCTAGTGGGTTGAAACTCAAACTCCCTGATTATGTCTTAAGGGTTGTCCCTCGTTAGGTGATGCCAAACCTACTACATCCTTGTAGTCATAGAATATAAAGACTATATGTCATGGCTAGACTGTAACATTAGACAGAACTGAATAATAATAAAAAACATATTGTCTTCTTTTTCACTTTTATATCAAAGATTTTTAAAAATAATTTTAAGACATTTTGCTCTTTCTCAGCCCTCAAATGAGAGATATCAAAGATTTTTAAAAATAATTTTAAGACATTTTGCTCTTTCTCAGCCCTTATCAAATGAGAGAAAATTTCTTGACTTAGTTGTTGACAAAACACCAAATTCTGACATCAGTCTTTCAGTCTAATGGTGATAGTTGCCCCAATGATTTCATTAAGTTCATAGTAGTCTAGCCTCTCCTAGAATGACTCATGGAACTGGGTCTGATTTGTAGAAGGCCTTTAGGAGTATGCAATAATCACAGAACCTATTGAAGGCCTGCCAGAAGACATCCCTAAACTGCCCTGGATCTCTCAGGGGTCATTCAGAACAGCGAAGAGCCAAGGCAACATCAGGTGGACATATCCTCATAGACCAAAATGACCTTGAATCTTCATGAGACCACCTAAGTACCATTTACCAGTATGTTATACCTGGTATATTAGCTTTTCTGTGAGCTTATGCATCACTCAGTCCTTGTTCATTGTAACAGAACATTTGAGATGATAGTTATGTGAGGCCTTGGACTAAGACCAAGCTCATTGTGTATAGGACAGACAAGAAGAATCTAGATGAAAACTCAGAAGTAAAAGGACAGATCCATAAGTTTATACTAAATATCTAGTCTTTAATTATTTTTAAAAAACCATTACACATCCAGGTAATTTCTAGAGTCATGTAGCCTCCATCAAACATAGATTGGAATGTCTGGTTTCATTGAACATTCAAGTCAATACATAGCTCATCCTGCATTTAAAAGATAATCATGGTGCATACACATATCAGTCTGGAAATTCTAAAGGAGTTTGTCTCTTACATTTTTAAAAAGAGGCATTGTGCCCGGCCAGCATGTCTCAGTGGTTGAGCATCGACATGAACTGGGATGTAACAGTCTAATTCTAGGTCAGGACACATGCCCGGTTTGTGGGCTCAATCCCCAGTGTGGGGTGTGAAGGAGGCGGCCAATCGGTGGTTCTTTCTCATCATTAATGTTTCTGTCTCTCTCTCCCTCTCCCTTCCTCTCTCAAATCAATGAAAATATATTTTTTTTAAAAAGAAAGGTGCTTTGCTTAAAATAAATAAATAAATAAAATTAAAAGAGGCAATATTCCCCAGCCACATGCTACCTTTGGAGAGAAAATACTGGTCTTCATGAGGAAACAATAGCCAGTTATCTTCAGAAAGACCATAATTTCCTCCTACTGTCAGTATATACCATGAAGTATATATTATATTCAATTAAGAAAGCCTACTACATGGGAAATATTTTAGAGGTATTTTTAGCAATGTTGCTATGCAATGATATTGCTTGCTCAATGATTTAATTCATTCAAAATAGATAACCAGGGCATGTGCCCTGATCGGGAATTGAACCGTGACCTTCTGGTTCATAGGTTGACGCTCAACCACTGAGCCATGCTGGCTGGGTGATAACTGCTTCCTTTTATGAGAGACAGAACTCTGCATAGCTTTGGTCTTCTTTTTAAGTAATCAGTGTATTTCTGCTTGATTTGTGATGATATGTATCTGAGAGTTTTAAATCCTGAGAATTTAAAAAGTCTCTATGGTACCAATTTGGACATTATCTGCCTTTAGAGAAAAATCCATTACTTGAACTATGGTGAATGCAATGTTTTGCTCATTTAAAGATCAGTATGCTTTGGAGCAAAGGAGGATATTTGCATACTTTTAGTGTAGCTATACTTTAATATGACAGGCTAACTTGCATCAATTGGATGAGAGAGGTGATCAAGCATGTCTTATCAATGCTACAGAAACATATCTAGCCCTGAACTGAACCAACTTCACTGTCCTCAGAATATCAAGAGAGATGTCTCTGATAAAATGAATCAGCAAGACCTTTAGTTTCAAATCGACTCCACCGCCATGTATATAGTCTAAATCTGATTGAATAGCGATATGAAAATCTTTCAAAACTGCTTTCCCATTTCTGTTTTCATCAAAAGGCTGCATTTTGTTACTCTACGAGGCAGTAAGGAGAATAATTTAGTTCTTGATTGCTATTTTAATACTGGGCACTTGTTATAGAATTACAAGCTGGAAAAAGAGAGAGGTCTGTTAATGTACAGATTGTGGTAAAGGGAATAGGTAAATTGAACATGTATAGGTAACATTCTCATACGCACTTTCATTTTGGACATGTTTAGGTAACGTTCTCATATGCAATTTGATTTTACACATGTGTAGCTGTTTCCATTAAACCACGCCTCTCTGTATTTTAGTTTGTGGACTCATGAAAGAACTCTCATTCCACAGGTACTGTGAACCCCTCTAAATGCGGCTGCCCCTTTGCTTTGAAGATGGCAGCATGCCAGCTGCTGCTGGAGATTACCACCTTCCTGCGAGAGACCTTTTCTTGCCTGCCCAGACCACGCACTGAGCCTCTGGTGGTAAGAAAAGCATGCATGTTAACAACCAGGCTACTTGGAGAGAGTAAGACATGTAACCAGGTTCTGAGTATGCACATTTTCTTCAAATGCCCGATGGCCAAATGTATGATATAATTCAAAATTCAACCAAGAGGTTTTCTTTGTTTTTAAATTAAATTTATTGGGGTGACATTGGTCGACATGAACATATAGGTTTCAGGTGTGGGTTTCTATGTTACAAGATCTGTATATTACATCATGTGCCCATACAAGATCTGTATACTGTACCATGTGCCCACCACCCAAAGTCAAATCTTCTCATGTAACCATATATGAAGACCCCCTTCTCCCCCCCCACCCTCTTCCTTCTGGCAACCACCATACTGCTGTTTGTGTTCATAGGTTTCAGTTTTGATTCCCACATATGAATGAAATCATATGGTTCTTAGCTTTTTCTAACTGACTTATTTCACTTAGCATTATGTTCTCAAGGTCCATTCATGTTGTTGCAAATGGCGCTACTTCCTCCTTTCTTATGGCTGAGTAGTATTCTATTGTGTATATGTACCACATCTTCTTATCCAGCCCTCTATCGTAGGACACTTTGGTTGCTTCCATGTCTTGACCACCGTGAGTAATGCTGCAATGAACAAAGGGGTGCATATATCTTTGCAAATACATGCTTTCAAGTTTTCCGGGTATATTCTGAGGAGAGGGATTGCTGGGTCATATGGTAGCTCTATTCTTAATTTTTTGAGGAATCACCAGACTGCTTTCCATAGTGGTTGTACCAGTCTACATTCCCACCAGCAGTGAATGAGGGTTCTCTTTTTCCACAACCTCTCTAACACTTGTTATTGCTTGTCTTGTTAATAATGGCTACTCTAACAGGTGTGAGGTGGTATCTCATTGTAGATTTTCATATATAAAAATAAAATTTGCTCTATTAAAAAATAACTCTCAAGTTGACCTTGAAATCCCAAAAGATAGCACCACTGGGAAAACTGTTTGATTACTGTCAGTAATGCTACAATGTCTAAGAATGTGTAGGTTCCTTTACACCACAAGCTGTGAGGAGTTTTCTGGCCATCATTTTTTAGAAATCCCTGACAGATTTGTTAATACCTACTGCTCATAAATCCATATAGAAGTGTGCTTCCAGTGAGTTTTCTTATTTAAATTATAGGCAAAAGACTTCTTCACCGGCCAGTGTGGCTCAGTAGTTGAATGTCCACCTATGAACTGGGAGGTCATGGATCAATATTTGGTCAGGGCACATGCCTGGGTTGTGGGCTTGATCCCCAGTTTGGGGCGTGCAGAAGGCAGCTGATCAATGATTTTCTCATCATTGATGTTTCTATCTCTCTCTCCCTCTCTCTTCCTTTCTGAAATCAATAAAAATATATTTTTTTAAAAAGTCTTCTTTTAGCATTTAGCATCTAAACATCCCCAAACATATATTTTATTCCTGCAGCATTTCTTATGGATGGGCAGAAAAAGACAACTACACACACACACACACGCACACACAGAGACACACATATAAAAACATATACTAAAACACACAGGCACACACACACTCTTGTACCATCAGGGCCTGTTTTTTTTTAAAAAATAAAAACACTGTGTAATAGCTAGAGTCTTGAGAGAGCATATAGGACAAGGACACACCTCAGAGCCGATTGTTTTGGGCCCTTAGTTCTCTAATAGGCACTGAGTCTCCAGTGGTTCTTTCAATGTAGGCGTCATCCAGCCAGAGCTGAGGAACTAGACAAGTTCTTTTCTTCCCTTTACACAAGGCTCACACTACTCTACCAGAAAAAGTGTTGCACTAACAGTCTATGTCAGTGGTTCTCAACCTTCCTAATGCCGCGACCCTTTAATACAGTTCCTCATGTTGTGGTGACTCCCAATTTCATTGTTACAGATTGAACATAATTAAAGCATAGTGATTAATCACAAAAACAATATGTAATTAATGTGTTTTCTCATTTAAGCAAATTTTATAATCTACCAGCTCTCCCAATATTTCAACCGAATGCAGCATGAGCAAGGCCATACTCTAATCCTGGTGGGGCCAAAAGAATTTCTGCTCTGGGATTCCTGAGTGGTGCCTCTCTCTCTGGTCTTCCATGTCTGCAAACCCTGTTTCCTCACACTAACACATAAAATGGAAGGCCATACTCTAATCCTGGTGGGGCCAAAAGAATTTCTGCTCTGGGATTCCTGAGAAGTGCCTCTCTCTCTCTGGTCTTCCATGTCTGCAAACCTTGTTTCCTCACACTAACACATAAAATGGATATTTTCAAGTTGGAAACATGTCTGGGCAAAATGTATGTTTGTAAGAGAAACATATCCACATTTGGAATGTGAAACTACATGATTTGGATATTGAAAAAAACAGTTTTTCTACTGTTCTTACTTAATTTTATGTTAACCTGGGCCTCTAATTTTCTGAATTAACTTTACTATTATATTGAAACTACTCTATAAAATCGAATCAAGACCACCATTTAACACATATGTGTAGTTCAAAATCAAGTATGATAAAATATCTGGTCTGTAAGAATCTGTCAGTGTTATCAACATTCTGATTATACTGGTCTTCATGAAAGCACAGTAGTGTATCTATTTTTTTTTAAATCCTCACCTGAGGATATTTTCCCATTGATTTTAGAGAAAGTGTAAGAGAGAGGGAAAGACAGAGAGAAACATCGATGTTAGAGAAACACACTGATTGATTGCCTCCTGCATGGGCCTGGGCCGGGGAGCAGCCTGCAACCGAGGTACGTGCCCTTGACCAAAATTGAACCCAAGACTCTTTGGTCCACAGGCGGACACTCTCCACTGAGCCAAACTGGCTTGGGCAGCAGTGTATCTATTTTTAAGTTTTCAGATTTTTATTGGCCACCATTTTGACCTGTTGGGATTTAAAAAGAGAACCTTAAAGTTTGATTCCATTGTTTTTGTTTTCCTTCCAATTTCTATAAAGCTATCATTTAATGACCCTTATTATTACAACAAATTTATTTTTTAATCAGTCACATCTTTTAAAAATTACTGTATAACTGGCAGGCCAGTAGGAAATGCCAAGAAATTAATTTAAAACAGAGCCTGCAGTCATTCAGGCAATGAGAGGAAAGTTTTCACTGCTATATTGCCTTTAGCAAGGTCTCAGAGATCTTTTATTCATTATATTGGGATTTTCACTGTCAAGTGTAGTTTTATGTATTTTGGGAGGATATGACCTTGATAAGATAAACGAGAAAGAAGCTTTTTTCATGCATAATTGATTTAAATATAGTTGATGGTAAAAACAAAAACAAAAACCACCTCAAATTACGTTCTAACCTACCATAGAAAAAGCAATGAGTATCATAAAACTATCTTACCAACACAGATGCTGAAAATGCTTGAAATTATTTTTTAAGAAATTATATTAATAGTGAATCTATCAGGCTAAGCATAAATACCACCAAAGTGAAATATTCTAAAGTTTTAACAAAACATTTGCTGCAAGGGTATTTGTAGATCTTCGGAATGTTTTATTAGTTTAGTAACATTTTTAATAGCAGTAAAAATAAATAGCTACCATAACAAAGAATAATAAAAGAATAACACAGTAAAATAATAACATTAAAAGCCAAAAATATTCAATACTCTGAAGCTTGGAGATGGGAGATCAGGAACATAAACTTTCTACCAAGAAGAAAAGAATGTCTAATAGAAATACCCTAAAACAGATTTCACTGTGAAATATTTATTTGACAAAGTCTTAGTTATATCCAAAATGTGGGAGAGAAAGCAAAAGAACCTTAAATACAATAATGAAAATAAAACTTAATTTGTTTAACCACACTTATTTCTTAGATAGGGTCAGGAAGTCCCAGTAGGCCCTTACGGCATTGGTGGGTAATAAAGTTCAAGGAAAAGGAAAAACGGTATCAAAAGGTATTAAAATGTGCTAAAAATATATTTTTGCCAACTTAACAATTTTTTTTCTAGATAAATCCCTAGATGCAACTTAATGTGCTTTTTTTTCCATAAAGTAACTCTTCTTGATAGCATTTTAGTCACTTTTTATTAACCATGCAAATAAATGTCTTTAAAAGAGAAAAAGCAGCATTTTTACAAGATTTATAATATAAAGAGCATAATAATCAAAATGTTCTCTAAATATTGACTTCCAAACCTGAAAACAATAAACAAATATTTTTAAAGGAATTCTGTGTGTAAAATTGTTGATCTATTAAAATATTTCCCAATGGAGTTAAGTTTGAGGATTAAGTAAAGTTAGCTCAGCAAATAAGTGGGTAAAGGAAATTCAGGTTTAAGAAATCTCATGTGTGAGGGCCAGAAGCACAAAACAGGATCATACACTGGCAGAATTTCTCTCTCCCTTTGAGGCACAGCTCAATATAAGGGGTTCCTTATTTGCTGAGCTAACTTTACTTAATCCTCAAACTTAACTCCAGCATTTCCTCTGTATTTGTTTTTTATTTCTGCTATAACAAACTACCACAATTTCGGTTGTTTAAAATAGTCGAATATATAATCTTATAGTTCTGGAGATCAGAAGTTTTACACAGGTCTAACCAGATGAAAATCAAGGTGTTAGCAAGGCCACACGCCTGCCTTTCTGGGGCTCCAGGGAAGAGTCTGTTTCCTTGATCTCATTCCATCTTTCAGAGGCCACACATTCTTAGCTCATTGCCTCTTCCCCATCTTCAAAGCCAGCAATTTAACATCTCTGTCACCCTTCTTCCACAGTTAAATCTTCCTCTGACCACAGCCTGGAAAAGCTCCCCACTTTTAAATATTTGTGCAATCAGGTTAAGCCTTCCTCTTCCAGGATAATCTTCCATCTTAATCACAGGTGCAGAGTCCCTGTTGCAATATAAAGTGACATGTTCACCAGGTTCCAGGGACTAAGGCAGCGGTTCTCAACCTATGGGTCGCGACCCCTTTGGGGATAGAACAACCCTTTCACAGGGGTCGCCTAAGACCATTGGAAAACACATATATAATTACATATTGTTTTGTGATTAATCACTATGCTTTAATTATGTTCAATTTGTAACAATGAATTGGGGGTCACCACAACATGAGGAACTGTATTAAAGGGTCGCGGCATTAGGAAGGTTGAGAACCACTGGACTAAGGCATGAACATCTCTGGAAGGTCATTGTTCTGCCAACCACGACCTCCAAGCATGAGTTCTAAGCTCCTACTCTGTCTCTCAGCCTTGGAATTTATCACTTGTTTGCCTCCTCACTCTCTACCTTGGGATTCTGACTTTCTTTAGGACAAGAACGACTTCTTTTTATCACCCAGTACTAACACATTTATACTCAATGCATAATTATTTAGTAAACAGGTAAATACCAATTTCAGTTAAAACCATGCACAAAGAATTAGAAGGTAAGTTTGTTCTAAATTTGGAATGAGGTCTGTGCTTTGGAAGGTGAGGCATGTGAGAAAAAGTGAAAAACTGAGTTAGGGAAGTCTTTTGTTTTTGTTTTTTAAACTCAATGAATATCATTATGGCTACAGTCTACAATTTGCATTAGGTAAAGGTAAATGGGGCTGTTTAAATGCAATTCTATGCAATTCAAAATGGAGGGAGGTTTGCCAGGAGACCACTGCAGTGCTGGGAGTTGCCAGCATTCATGTGCTCCCTGCTGACATTTCAGGACCTGGAGAGCTGCAGGCTTCGTTTGGATCCTGAGTTGGACCGACACAGATATGAAAGGAAGATCAGCTTTGCCGGGGTCCTGGATGAAAATGAAGACTCAAAGGATTCCCTCCACAGTAGTAGCCACACCCTCAAATCCGACGCAGGTGGTGAGGAGAAGAAAGGTATGGAAAAGCAAGGATTGTTTCATGTTTCAGGGTTTCTTGTAGAATATTTGGTCTGGGGTCTAACCTACAGAATTGTTTACCCAAAGACGTCCAAGACTGTTGGCTCCATACAGTACTGTGTCATCCAATGAGGTAGGAAACCATTCTGGTTGGGAGTTGGACTCTTCAGTCAGAGAGGCTCAGGTTCTAATTCCAGCTCAGCAGCTCTCCGTATTTCATTGAATCCAAGATGCCATCATTCACACGATGAAACATTACTTTACATACCAATAGAAAGGAAAAATATTCCCATTCAGCTCTTACACGATACTTTCTTATTGCTTGGTTTGTGTTTCATTCTTATCGAAATAGAATTTCAGACTTAATTAGATGTAAAATTTTATTTTCAGTATATATCATTCTTGTGCAGCCAAAAAAAGGTAAACCTTTAAGCTGGTTAAAGGGTTTCTAAACTATCCTCAATTCAGAGTTCAAATTTCTTTTTTGTTATATGTATATATTTCTTTATTGACTTCAGAGAGGAAGGGAGAAGGAGAGAGAGATAGAAACATCAATGATGAGAGAGAATCATTGATTGGCTGCCTCCTGCACA